GTCCCCCTCTTACCTCTCCACCTACTGTCACAACACCCACTGGCCACCCAGACCCGGGAGAGACCCAGCAGTCACCCTTCCTCCCTCAAGTTAGTTCTAGCCGCGGTATCCCCTGGTGGTGCTGGGGTTCACCCCACCATCTTTGCCATCACAGTTGGCCCCTGACCTGGCCCCCAGCTTTCAGGATTTCTCCTCTCGCCTTCCCTCCACAGCTGCCAGGGGGACCCATCCCAGTAGTTCTCTTAACTGGGATCTGTGGGACCCCGGGGTTCCTCAGAGGCTGCTGGGAGGGGTGTTGACTGGGAAACCTCAGCAGGAGCATTAAGCTTCACCTGTTCCATGTGCTGGAGTTCCATGGGGAAGAGAAGCAGTATGGCATGGCCTACAAGAACAGCCAGGGACCAGGGTTCTGTTTCAGACGCAGAGCTGATGGTGCAGCTGTGTCCTTCAGTCTTGTGGCCTCTGAGGGCCGGCCAAGATTCTAACACCACACTTGCACCCTCCCTGCTGGGCCTGCCCATCTCCTGCCCGCGCGCCCCCAGCCCCTCCTCCCCAGCCTGCCCTCCGCAAGGGACAATGTGTCACCCTCTGTGGGATTTCAGGCTGTAACTGGCAGTTGTATAGCATCTGGAAAGGGACATTCCAGATCACGATGAAGTGTGCCTGCTTCTCCCCCTTCCTTGTACAGCACTGGTCCCTGTGATGAAGTTCAGCCAACCCCCTCAACCCAGCCCATTCCCATCCAAGATTCTGGGCAGTAAACGCCTGTGGCTGGCTCGAGGTGGGACATTACAACTCAGCTGGGAGGGAGACAGCGATGTAAAACTCAGGGTCATTAGGCAGGGCCGGGGGTTGCTCTGGTCAGAGAACTGGAAGGAGTGTTTGCTTAGGCTGTGAAGACAGCAGCAGCCATCAGGGTAGCGAGCCCTGTGGGTATCACTGGCATCATTTCATTTAGTCCTAACCCTGGCCCTCTGGGCGGGAAGGACTGTTCCCTGTGTGTTCAGGAGGAAGCTGAGGCTCAGAGCGGCTCCGGGTTTTATGGAGGGTCACACCGTCAGTGCCAGGGCCACAATTCTAGCCTAGTTCCAATATCCCCAACTCCTACCCACCAGCCCTGCTTTCAGTCAGTGTCTGGCCCTGGAGTCACACCTGCCAGGACTGGGTGAGACTCTAATTGCATCAGATGGAACAAAAGTAAAGCCCTGAGGTCTTGATTTCTAGAGGCTCTGCTCAATCAAGAAAGAACTATGAGGCAGACCGCCCAGTAGAATCCATGGTTGCACCCAGGGAGTGCCCTGCAAATATGGGACCCCGAGAGTACCCTCTGTCCTTCCTTGGCAGGAGTCATCCTCCTGCCAGCCCCCTTCCTTTATTCCTTGAAATCCATACTCACACATCTCAGCCAAGACCTGAGGTCACCTTCTGAGATTAAGTATAGGGTAAGGTTTTCACAATTGGGGATAATCCCCAAGGAACGATTTCCCTTTTAGTTTCTTCTAAAGGCAGAGTAATTACAATGGACATCTCCATGCAGCTATCCCCGGGCACCATCATTGGTGCCTGGTCAGTCCAAGACTGACCAGCTCCTCTCTACTGGCAAATCCCAGCTGCACGTCACTCAGAGCCAGTGGTCAGCAAACTGTGGCCCCCGGCCTGGTTGTGTAAATAAAGTTTTGTTGGCAGGCGGGCCATGCTCATTCATTTCTATATTGTCTGTGGCTGCTTTTGTGCTGTCGTGGCGGCGTGTGGTAGTTTCCACAGAGACCATATGCCCTGCAAACCTAAAATGCTTACCTGGTCCTTTGCAGCAGGGGGCCCCAGCCCCCAGGCAATGGACTGGTACCAGTCTGTGGCCTGTTAGGAACTGGGCCCACAGCTGGAGGTGCGCGGCAGGTGAGGGAACATTACTGTTTGAGCTCTGCCACCTGTCAGATCAGCGGCGGCATTAGATTCTCGTGGGAGTATGAACCCCATTGTGAACTGTGCATGTGAGGGATCTGGGTTGCACACTCCTTATGAGAATCTAATGCCTGATGATCTGAGGTGGAACAGTTTCATCCTGAAACCACCCCCTGCCAGTGTGTGGAAAAACTGTCTGTTTTCCATGAAACCGGTTCCTGGTGCCAAAAAAGTTGGGGACCACTGCTTTACAGAAAATGTGCAGAAAATGGGGGCCAATTCATGCCCTTTTACGATTTTGAAGTTTTTATTATTGAAGAGATAGTTTACACATCAAATGCTGTTTTATTTGGGATCACATATTTAAGAAAAAGGCCCACTTTTCAGATGGTGAAGTGGTGTTATATGAATATTACCTGTAATCTACCGCTTCTGGCCTCAGAGGGCTGGAACCATGGTCTACAGCAGGTCTTCGGTAGGTGATTGGCTGAATGAGATGGGCGGGGTGGGGCTGCAGCGTGGGGAAGTCAGCGCCACACAGAGAGGAAGTGCCCTACAGAAATTTAGTTTCCACATCCTCAGGTTAAAGGAAAGTTCTTGTGCAGCAGCTGCAGTCCCAGATGTGCCAACATCTGGCTCGGGGTACAGGTACACTAGAATTTTCTAGCTAATTGGATGTTGACACATGCTATATTTCAAGGACACTTGTTTCAGTAATATGTCAAGAAGAAGATGGAAAAGTCCGTCTAGAGATCTTTTTTTTTTTTTTTTTTTTTTTTTGGCACAATGCATCACTAGTTCACTACCTAGCACGTGGGAGAAGCTTTAGCAACTTCAGCGGTGGTTTCATCTACTCCACGGCATCAGTCACTTGCAGAAAGGAAACATACTTTTAATTAGGCAGCAGGAGCATCTTATTTTTGTCTACAGGAGGTCAGTCATTATGGATTCATGCATTTTGATGGCCTGTATAGTCTATCAACGTGCAGAGATATACAAAATTCATCTAAAGATCGAAAGACTCTTTAGTCACTCGCTAGGTGTTACTCTACATTAAACTTTCTGGTTGGCACATTCTCCTGTGGCTTTGGAATGTATTGACACATTGCGGTCTTTGAAGAAAACTGCATTGAGTATTAAAAGGCTAAGAAGGTTCCTTCCGATGCTTTCACAGTATTGGGTTAGGTTTTAAAATACTCCAAAATAATCATTGTTTTTGTCTTCCACTCAGAACAAGAACAGGTACTGTTTACAGAAGTCTAAACGATGATGGTCTCGATTCCACACTGCTAAGATCACTTTGTCTCAGGAGTCTGACCATGGCAGGCACAGGCATCAAACAAGTCTCCTTCTCTCTCTCTTTCTCGCTCTCAGCCCTCAAGTCTGGACGATAGAAGAGGCAGCCGCCCCCGGTCCATGGTGCGGTCCTTCACGATGCCTTCCTCATCCCGGCCGCTGTCTGTGGCCTCTGTCTCTTCCCTCTCATCGGACAGCACCCCTTCCAGGCCAGGCTCAGACGGGTGAGTCAAGCTCACAGCAGGGCTGGGCTGAGCAGCGAGGGCTTGGGGGATCTGGAAGGAGCCACCCAGGGCCCTGGGTTTATTTTCTTACAACTGAGGATTTTGTGTCCATCAAAATTATCTTTGAAATTGAGACCCTCCGAGACTTTCTGACCATAGTGCCCAATATTACTTTGAGGTCTTGTGAGTTGTTGAGAAAAACATCCTCTCTTTGGGTACCACTTTGGGTAAGGTTTTCATCTAATTTAGAACCTCCAGTGAATGTTCAGTCGTCTTCAGCACGGCTTTGAACAGGCTTGTCCAACCCACGGCCCACATGCAGCCCAGGATGGCTTTGAATGTGGCCCAACACCAATCCATAAACTCCCTTAAAACAGTATGAGATTGTTTTTGTGACTTTTTTTTTGTATATATCGAGCTCATCAGCTATTGTTAGTGTTAGTGTATTTCATGTGTGGCCCGAGACAATTCTTCTAAAGTGACTCAGGGAAGCCAAGAGATTGGACACCCCTGGGAAGAAGCAAGGTGCATTCCCTGCTGGCCAAGCACTTTGTACTTTTCATCTCCTGTGCACCTCCAGGGCCATGCCCAGGCAGGAGCTGGTGTGGTCTGAGCATGACACAACCTGCACTGTCTACCCGTGACACCATTCTGCCAAGCCAACTGTCACAGAGTCAGGCTTTCATGATGGATGGCTGGGCCACCTTCTTTTTTATTTTCCTCCCTTCCTCATGTTTTTGGAGAGCAAATTTTTTGTTTATTTTTGTTTCTGGTGAGGTTTATTACCTTTTAAAGGGAAATGGTGTTTAAGTGAGTGCTTCTGAGAATGACCATCTGTCCCTACTTTTTAGAACAACTCTGGAAAATAAAAGGCATATTATCCTTTTTAAAAATTTTGTTTTTGAGGCAGACCCTCACTCTGCCACCCAGGCTGGTGTGCAGTGGTGGAATCACAGCTCATTGCAGCCTCCACTTCCCAGGCTCAAGCGATCATAACCATTTTAAAGTGAACAGTTCAGTGGGATTCAGTAGGTTCACATTGCTGTGCAGCCATCACCACCATCCACCTCCAGAACTCTTTAATCTTGCCAGACTGAAACTCTGTACCCACTGAACAATTCCCCACTTTTTACCTCCCATACCGATTAAACACTAACTTCGCATTCTCGTTTCCCCCCACCCCTGACACCCTGACAATGTCTACTTTCTTTTTTTTTTTTTTTTTTTGAGAGGAGTCCCCCTCTCCAGGCTGAGTGCACTGGCACAATCTCGGCTCACAGCGACCTCCGCCTCCCAGGTTCAAGCAATTATTTTGCCTCAGCCTCCCAAGTAGCCTAGGACTACAGGCACCTGCAACCACGCCTGGCTAATTCTTTGTATTTTTAGTAGAGACGGGGTTTCACCGTGTTAGCCAGGATGGTCTCAATCTCCCGACCTCGTGATCTGCCCGCGTCAGCCTCCCAAAGTGCTGGGATTACAGTTGTGAGTCACCGAGCCTGGCCAATGTCCACTTTCTATCACTATGATTTTGACTATTCTAAGTACCCGTGGGCCACCTTCTTTCTACAAGGCCACTTCGGAGATGCATTTTTGCTCTTGAGTACCCAATAGTTAACATTTATTGAGCGCACACTGTGGCTCTTGCATTAGCTCAGATTATTGCAAAGAGAACTGCAACATTGGTATTTTTTTGTATTTTTGAGTGGCAAGCATGTAAAGTTTGTTCTTCTACAAAAAGAAAAAAATGTTTCATGCAATTTCAACAACACAGAAGAACCTCTAATTGTTTTACTGCCAATTTGCACAGTTGTTTGTGTGTCCAATCCCATTTAGTTTACAATCCATCACCCCATCAAACCCACAGGCATCTGGCCCCTTCAACACACAGACACAAACTTCCAGAGAGCCCCAAGGGTCGGCTCAACTCTGACTGCCCTTTGTTGCCAACGACTGATGTGCCCGATGGATAATTGCAAACTATCCCCACATTTTTTCTTAACAGTAATTTTTATCAGCATCTGATATTTATAAGGCCAAGTCCATATGGAAATTCTCAATTTAGAGGTATTTAAATCATGTGTGCTTGTCACTTACAGCAAGATTGCTAAAGAAATTTAATTCAACTTCTCCCCGAGAAAATCCCCAAGCTAGTTAGGGAAAGGTTTTTATATTTCTAGGAACATAGGGGTTAGGGTGGAAATTGATGGGGAGGTTTTAGATAGAAGAGCAGTGAATTGCACATGTGAACTCGGGCTGCCAGCTCTTCCCCAGAAGGCATTTGTTTAACCTTTAACTGGAAGGCATCTTTATTACAGTCCAGATTTGTGTTCATTCTTGGGGTTACCACCCTTTGCTAGCTAACTAACGTGGAGAAAATGAGGCTTTGGTCTCAAATGTCACAGGTTATGTGCAGAATAAAGTTCATCCTGTAGGCAGTTGCTTCTCATAATGTGAAAATTTAGAACTCCACCTGCCTTTCTCTGGGTTCTTTGTATAAGCATCAGGATTTCACAGCCGGGGTCTTCTCCCTGAGCTAAACAGCATCTACTAATCCTTTTCTTACCTACATTATCTCAAGTTCTGCTAAACCTAGAATAAAATCATGAAATGTTTGGTTGTTGCTTATAATAGATACAATATTTCACACCTAATGGTTGTGGATGTATCATAGATCCAGTGCGAAAAGTCCAGATGTCCCAAAATGCCTTAATGATCTAAGTCAATACTGGTATATTTTATCAGTCATTTTTAATTTTTTAAACATTTTATTATAGAAAAATTTCAAAGCTGAGTCCAGTGGCTCATGCCTAAAATCCCAGCACTTTGGGAGGCTGAGGCAGGTGGATTGCTTGAGCTCTGGAGTTGAAGACCAGCCTGGGCAATGTAACAAAACCCCATCTCTACAAAAAATACAAAAATTAGCTGGGTGTGGTGGTGCATGCCTGTAGTCTCAGCTACTTGGGAGGCTGAGGTGGGAGGATCACCTGAGCCTGGGGAGGTTGAGGCTGTAGTGAGCCATGATTGCATCCCTGCACTTCAGCCTGGGCAACAGAGTGAGACTGTCTCAGAAAAAAAGAAAAATTTCAGATATATACAAAGTGGGCTGAATAGTGTAATGAGGCCCCCATGCCCCACAGCCAGTCTTGACAATTATCGGGTTTTAACTAATCTTTTTTTCAATCTGTATCAATCATATTTTCCAGCAGATCTCAAATATATCATTTTATCTATAGCTATTTCAATATGAATTTCTAAAAGGTATGAACTCTTTTTTAAAACCATAACTAGGTTATATTATATAAACTATTGTAATATAGTTTATTTCACACCAAAAATATTGACAGGAATTCCATATTATTATAATAATATATTAGTGTTAATTTTCCATTGTCATGTCTTTTTTTTAGTTTGTTTAAAGCAAAATCCAAATAAGGTCCCCACCTTGCACCTCGCACTTGGTGGATATTATCTCTTTAGGTCTCTTTCAGTCCCCTTTTCTCCCTTGTAATTTATTTGTGGGAAATCCTAGGTTGCATATCCTGTCATGGTCCCCACCATCAGGACTTTGCTGATAGCATGCCCTATCGCATGGTTTAATTCGTGTCTCGATTCTCCATATTCCCTGCATATTGGTAGTTGAATCTAGCGATTTGATCAGATTCAGATTTGATTTAGGGATGACTTCATAGGTACTTGTATGTTCTTCCATTCAGAGGCACATCATATCCTGTTATCTGTCTTATGGAGACGTTAACAGCTATTGATGAAGTGCTTAGATTTAATACCATTACTGTTTACATAGTGTATGTTCCTGCAGCACATCCTACTGCACAGCCACATTAGATGGGAGAAGCAAAGAGTAGGTGGTGCTCCTTGCTCTGGGCAGTCTGCATCTTCAGCGGATTTAAGCACAGTTTTGCGAATGATCCTTCCCTTCCTGGTTCAGTTGACTCCCCACTATGGGACACACAACCTGGAAATCAACAGTGAGCACATCAGTGGGGAGCAAGATTGTTGCAATGGCCGTCCAGTGAGCACATCAGTGGGGAGCAAGATTGTTGCAATGGCCGTCCAGTGAGCACATCAGTGGGGAGCAAGATTGTTGCAATGGCCGTCCAGTGAGCACATCAGTGGGGAGCAAGATTGTTCAATGGCCGTCCAGTGAGCACATCAATGGGGAGCAAGATTGTTGCATTTTTTTTTTTTTTTTTTTTTTTTTTTTTTTTTTTTTTTGAGACAGGATCTGACTCTGTCACTCAGGCTCTGCAATGGCACAATCTCGGTTCACTGCAATTTCTGCCTCCCAGGCTTAAGTCATCCTACCACCTCAGCCTCCTGAGTAGGTGGGGCTATAGGTGCACACCCCCATGGCTGGCTAACTTTTGTATGTTTTGTAGAGACAGGATCTTGCCGTGTTGGTCAGGCTGGTCTCGAACTCCTGAGCTCAAATGATCCGCCCGCCTCAGCCTCCCCAAGTGCTGGGATTACAGGTGTGAGCCACCGCGCCCAGCCCTGCAATGGCCTTCTTAATGAGAACAGTGGCTTTCTTCCAAGTGTCCCATTCAGAAATACATGTAAGAGAAACTAGAGCTAGGATGAAAATATGACTGGCTGGCTAAATTTTCTTCTCTTGAAATCATGCTCCCCTTGAAAAAGCCAATTTCTTCTCCAGGCAGTCAAGGAAGTCAGGTTTGGAAGTTGCTGTGAGGACTCAGAGCTCCAAAGAGCAGGCTATAATTTGAAAATGTAAGATCCTAGTAACAGCCCTGCCTTCCATGTGAGTTATGCTATATGGGTTTTCAGGCTGGCCCATGCCTTCATCCATTCAACCGCCTCTCCTGACTCCTCTTCACAGCAGGAGCTTCTAGGGATGAGCCTCCAGTCTTAGAATTGGATCAATTTCTTCCACCTCCTGATAAGACTTCTAGGACCAGAAACAGGATGGACATGCCAATCTTGTGTTGGAGTGACAAATCACAATCGTGTGTGGATGTGCATGCACACTAACCTTTTGGTACATGCCTTAGAAACTAGCCTAAGATTGATTTACTCCATGGCGTAACCACGAATGTGTTTTTACAGCAACTGTGGGGTAGTCAGAAGGGTGGTGGTGTCTTCATACCTTTTTATAAGTGAAACAGCTGCCAGAGGTTGTGAGGACATCAAGAGTCACCCACAAGTGGCAGAGCTAGAATGCAGGTCTTCTGTCTCCAGCTCATTTGCCAGCTGGAAACCTCAGGGCATCTCCAAGCACCTGTGAGCTGGCCCTGGCTTGCTTCTGACCGAGCCATGCAAAGTGCTTTCACCTGGAAACAACCGTCTATCTGTAATCATAGAGCCTTGGTCAGGATTAAGGTAGCAGATGTTTCTTTGCATTGATGTCCATTTTTCCCCATTAAAAAATACACAGAATATTTCTATATAAATCTCTAAAAGACAAGGGTTCCCCTTTTGAAATATACCCTAAATACCATCCTCCCATCGTAAATGAACAATTCCTTAATGTCATCATCAAATATCCGGTCAGACTTCACATTTGCCCTATCGTGCTAAGTGTTCTATCTTTTTCACAGTTTTCCGTGTTGGGATTGAAACACAGTCCTTGCATCTGGTGACTGTGTATCTGAAGTCGCCCTTGGCCTCCCTTTTAAATCATTGCTTTCCTTGTAAATGTCTTCGATGGATTGTGAGTGACTTTACACGTGTCTGTGGGGTGGAAAGCAATTGCTCTCCTATTAAGACATCATTGACCTTTCCTTTAGGTTTGCTCTGGAGCCTCTCCTGCCAAAGAAAATGCACTCCAGGTCCCAGGACAAGCTGGACAAGGATGACCTGGAGAAGGAGAAGAAGGACAAGAAGAAGGAAAAAAGGAACAGCAAACATCAAGAGATATTTGAGAAAGAATTTAAACCCACCGACATTTCCCTGCAGCAGTCGGAGGCTGTGATCCTTTCGGAAACGGTAACCTGACAGGGTATCTTCCCTCGCTCTGTGGTAGCTTCAGGGACCTACCTTTGCCCCACCTGTAGCCAACAGGGCTGACAGTGGGCTCTGACTGCACTTGTTATAAATTAGCAACTCAAAAACCTGGGGTCCTCCTTCCCTAACCTCGAATGTCCCAAGGCAGTAGGACAGCCGAGCCGCAGAGCTAGGCTTAGCATTCGTGCAGCTTCCACAGGGCCTGGGGCAGGGCCGCTCTGCTGCTAGGCTCTGCCGCGCTGGCTCTGTTGGACTTGTTTCCTACACATGTCCTAACATCCCAGAAGATGAGCAGGAGTCCTTTTGTTGTCAGGAAACAGTCCTGCGTGTCAGATAATGCCTTCTCCTCGCCCCTTGTTGACTGGAACTCTAAGCTAGTTATAGCCCAAGTGTGAAAATCAGCGGAACTAGAATCCAAAGACCTCTTCCCACCAGGCCCCAGCAGCTGCACCTGCTCCTGGGGTACCTGCTCTGTCTCATCTGCTCCACCTTTCCGTCTCCTGGCCGTCTTTCACAAGGACTTACAGGGACTTCACGGGGCCCGTGTTGCTGAACCAACCTTAAAAACAGGTCCTAGTGAGTCTCGTTCGTTCCACAGTTGTGAGCGTGTGAGGTGGTGAAACTGAGGAGCTGGCTCTCATCCTGGGGCTGGGCCTGAGAGCTGATCCTCCCAGAAGTACACCACATTGGGAGTCTGTGTTCGTCTGTTTTGTGTTACTGTAAAGGAATAACTGAGCCTGCGTCATTTATGAAGAAAAGAGGTTGATCTGGCTCATGGTTCTGCAGACTGTATGAGCATGGCACTAGCATCTGCTTGGCTTCTGGTGAGGCCTCAGGAGGCTTTTATTCTTGGCTGAAGACAGGGGAGGGGAGCAGACATGTCACATGGTGAGAAAGAGAGTATGGGCAGGGGGTCGTGTTCCAGGCTTTTTTAAATAACTAGGTCTCACATGAACTGATAGAATGAGAACCCACTCATTACCCCTATTACTGCAAGGACAGCACCAAGCCCTTCATGAGAGGTCAGTTCCCGTGACCCAGACACCTCCCACTGGCCGCACCCCCAACATTTCAACATGAGATTTGGAGGAGACAAGTTGTATCAGAGTGTGAGTGCAAAGATGAGGCACAGCCCACTTCCAGAGCGAACTTGATTCTGAAAGTGCTAGCTGTAGTTGGAAACAAAAATAAAGAAGGGGTTCTCGTGGGCTGTCAGTTTCAAAGACGAAGTCAGGATTGGAGCTGCCCTCCCTGGAAATAGATGGCTGTTTGCTTGTCTCAGTCCTGGGCAGCCAGCGGGCTATGATTAGAGGGTTAGACGTACTGCACTGCTTGTTTATAACTTAAAACCCAGAAAGTTGGTTTTATCTATACTTCATGCCACTCAGAAAGCAGTCACATGCTACCTGGCTATCTAGAGGTGGAAGGCAAACCCCCCAGCCATGACTTGACGTCCAGCAGGCCAGCGCTGCTCTGCGGCCTGTGGCTGCAGCGGGGCTGGAGAATTCCCGTGAGGGTGGCCAAGGATGTCAGGCCTCGGGGGGCACTGGCTGGAGGCTGGCCCGAAGCACCCAGACGCTCAGCCTCCAGCAGATTGAGGGGGTCCTGACCACACAGCGTGCTCTGTCTGCTATTCTCGGAAGTTGGGATGCCCACCAGCCCAGAGGTTGGCTGAAGTCTCCTTCTCTCAAGCCCCAGGTAGATTTCTCAAGTCTCAAAACATCGTAGCTGGGTAGGGGAATGAACAGAAGCATTTTTGAATATTACTTAGTGCCAGACACTATGCAAGTCTTTCATACATTTTAATTTAAGCTCCGTTTTAAGATGCTAAATTGGAGGCCTCAGAGAAGTTGTGCCAAGTGGCAGGATTGATCACAGCTGACTTGTGTGAAAAGTCCAAAGACACAAGCACACACATGACAGGCACAGAGCCAGCACAGTGCATTTTCTGTCCCTGCCTGTGGTGGCCCAAGCATCGTTCTAGGATCCTTGCAAACAGCAGGGCTAGGGGCAGCACCACAAGGGCTGCTTCCCCACGGTTGGCCCTAGCACCCTCAGCAAATCCGCAGGAACTCAGCAAGGTCAGAGCACAGAACATTGGTGGGGCTTCTCAGCATCTGGCCCAGTGTCAGCTTGAGCCTTCCAGCACCAGGAGGCGGGGCATCCGAACCTCCCACTGGGGACAGGCTTCCTATTCTTGGTCCAGCCCAGCGACCTGTCTGTCTACACAGAGGCCACCTCCTCCAGGGGACGGGTGCCGGCAAGGTCTGTGAGGACAGTCAGACACCTGAAGTTTCCCAGCAGGCGACTGTGTGCCTGTGACCAGCCATGCTGTAGGGGAGGTGGGGAGGAAGTTCACAGGAGCAGAAGTAGCAACCCATTCCCTGGGGACAACACCAGCCACCCTCCCCACCCCCCCACCCCCGCTTACCCCTACTGTAGTGTCCTCCTTGCCCTTCCCCCATGCTGGCCTCCCCTGCACCCCAGCTTCTGCCAAGGTTTTCCCTCCTCACCCCTGGGGCTGGGTTTGGTTTCCTACTTGATTTGCATCATCAACAATTTCCTGACCTTTAGCTGAGCCTCTCCAGCCAGAGCCTCCAGGCTGCAATTTGCATCACAGCAGGCCAGCCTCCTCACGCTCTCCGAATCAGAATGTGCCCGCCCTGGGATGCAGGGAAGCCAGGAGAAGCACCTTAGCAGATCCCAAATCTCTCTTGCCAGCACATTCGCCTTCAGAGGGCCCAGCACTTCACCCAGCCTTTCCCGACTTCCCACGGCAGTTCTGCTGCCTGGAACAAGGCCATTTCTTCAGAGGAGGTACAGCTCCTGGGCACTTGGCTCCCCCGACAGCACAGTATAGTTCTGGAAATAGACCTGTTGGCCTGGCTCTGTCACTCATTTGCCAGAGGGCCTGAATCTTCCTCCCAAGCCTGGTTCCCATTTCCTCCTTCCAGCCTCGGTAACCTCCAGACTGGCCCTGGCTCGGCCGACTTCTCCTGGGGCAGACATTGAAGCCTACCTGCTCAGTTGCTCACCCAAACCAGCACAGCCCATCCGCCAGGCCCCCAGACCTAGCACCAAGCCGGAGCTGCCCGCTCACCTGCCTGCCCTTCCTTGGGGGAGAACCTTGACCCCTCCTTTTTGGCTGGGTTAATAAGTTTTCTAATTACTCCTGCCTCAGAGTATTCTGTCACTGCTCCTATTCCCCAAAGCCTGATGAGCAACCTGTAAGAAATATATACATACAACTTACTGATGGAACAAACAGGGAAAGGGCTTCGGTGGGGGAAAGTCAAGTGCCTCTGAAAGCCAGAGATGAGCAGGAAAAAATGCATTGAAAAGGAGAGAAAAAGAATCCCTGCCCGGTAATGACCTAGGATGTGAGACGCAGCAAAGGAAAGGAATAGCAAAAATCCTTCAGCCAGTTCCTAGACTTCCAGGTACACACCAAAGAGACCAAAGCATGCTGAGCACACCTGGGAATAATTCTGCCCTGGAACACGTGTCCGTGTCCAAACTTCCCTTTTTCATAAGGTCACGTGTCCTATTGGATTAGGACCTGTTACTGGGAAGTGTGCAGGTCCTTGATTCTTAGTCTTAGAGGAAAGAATTCAGCCAAGAGACCAATTAGTAAAGTAGGGAAATTAGTAAAGTAGGTAAAGTAGGGTTATTAAGGAAATAAAAGTAGCGTAGACTCCAGGAGAGGAGCAGGCTGACCCTGTGGAGAGCAGCCCCTGGGAGTTCTGTGTTGTGGTTTTTATACTGGACTGATTTAAGCTCCCACCTCTGTCTTAAGCCTCTCCCTTTGTCTTCGTGTATTTTCCCAGCTGTCTTAAGTCTCCACCTTTTCCCTGCCTAGTTCCCGCCCAGGTTTGTGGGACTTTCCCTTGCTGCTAGTTGATGTGCACACTCGGGCTCAGTGATCAATAGGAATCCTACCTAATGGCAGCATTGCTCATTACCACCACCCCAAGAAGGTCTATTGCGGTCAAATCTGTACTTACTGTGCGAGTGTCTCTCTTAGGAATTAACCCCTTGCCCTGTTTCCCTCCTAATCAGCATGTAGCCAGCTACATTGTAACAGGTTAGCTGCAGAGGGAGCAATTACTGGGTGTCTTATGGGGTGTTTCAGGGCGCTCCCTCCTGCCTAGGTATTCCCCTCCCCTCTGCTCACACCTAGCATGTGTGTTTTGTGGGGGTCTCTGGGGCATGAGATTTTCCAGAGTTTCCTCCCCCGTCTACCTTTCCTGTTCATGTCTTACAATCTGCCCACTAACAGGCCACACCTCAGCTTGATCATTTGCAAAGACCCTATTTCCAGTTAAGGTCATATTCTAAGGTAATGGGGGTCAGGACTTCAACATAGGAATTTAGGTGAAAATGCAGCTTGGCCCATAACAGACCCTAACTGTGCTCTTTCTCTCCTTTCAATGTAGATAAGTCCTCTGCGGCCCCAGAGACCGAAGAGCCAGGTGATCAACGTCATTGGAAGCGAAAGGCGCTTCTCAGTGTCCCCCTCGTCACCGTCCTCCCAGCAAACACCTCCTCCGGTTACACCAAGGGCCAAGCTCAGCTTCAGCATGCAGTCAAGTAAGTAGAAGAGTCCGCACATACGTATCGTGCTATAGCTCTGTGACTTCCCCTGGCTGAAGGCTCTGAGGTTAGAAGCGCTTCCTGCCTCCCTTTGCAGCAGAGGGTGGGAGTTCAGATAAACACCTGGCTTCCTGGGAGTGTCCCTTGGAGCAGGCTGTAGAGTCTGGACTTTCGCAAATCAGGCCAAAACTCAGAGCCCAGGTCTCCAGCGCTGGAGGGGCAGAAAGTGCAGGGTTTGTCCCAAGGTCCATGTGGAGGGGACCTGTGAGGCACGTGGAACTGCCCCACTTCCTATCCCAGGACACAGAGCTGCAGGAGGCCGTGGGCCTGCTTGTGTCTAGGACTGTGCACTGGAGAAGCACCTCCAGGCAGTTGGCAACAGCTAAGGGGCACAGCTTATTTTTCTAGTTTTGACCAATGTTTAAATTACCCTAGAAGTTGCCACAAAACTAGTGGCTCCAAACAGCAGAAATCTGTTCTCTGAAGGTTTTGGAGGCCAGAACTTTGAAATCAAGGAGGTACCAAGTTGGTTCCCTCTGGTGGCTCCAAGGGAGAGCCTGTCCCAGGCTTCCCTCCAGCTTCTGGTGGCTCCCAGCAGTCCCTAGCCCTCCTTGGCTGTGGCCACATCACTCCCCTCTCTGCCCCTGTCTTCATGTGGCCTCCTTCTCTGTGTCCTCTCCTCTTAGAAGGACAGCAGTCATTGGATACAGGATCCACTGCAAATCCAGGATGATCTCACCTTGAGATCCTTCGCTGATTACATCTGCAAAGACCCTAAATCCAAATAAGACACATTCTGAGGTTCTGGGTGGCCCTAAGAGGTCTGCATTTTGGGAAGACTCTACTCAACTTACTCTAAGTGGTAGACAGCTTTTCACCACTGGATTCAGAGCCAGCAGAGAGGAGAAATCTTGGCAGGGAGAAGGTGCTGGGGGTGAGGATGGCAGCAGAACTGGGGAGCCCACTCTCCTTCCTTCCTGTGGCACAGAGAGGGGTCCCAGGCGGGAGAGCTCCATGCCCTGTGGCAAGGGTTGTGCAAGGCAGTGAGTGAGTGTCCTCTGCTCCTGGTTTTCCTCTTGCTGAAAGGGGAGCAGTCATGATTTTGGAGACTGTCAGTGGGTGGGGAGGCTGGCTCCAGGAGTGGATGTGTGAGTTTAATTGAGTAGGCAGAGAGCTTTCCGGGCACTGGATGTGTCTTTGGAGGGTGCATCTTCACATCCTTGCACTATTACTACATGATCTTTCTAAAAATGTGCTTAAAATCTATTTTAATACTGAAAACAGGCACCGTCACTGCTGCTGCAGAAAACAATTTAACGGTTCCTCCACAGTTCAATGTAGAATAAACATGGAATATGAACCGGCAGTCCTGCTCCTAGGCCTGTACTCCAGAGAATTGAAGGCAGGGACTCAAACAGATACTTAATATTCGTAGCAGTATTTTTCACAAGAGCCAATAAGCAAACACAGGCCAAATGTCCATCAGCTGATGGCCAGATTAACAAAATGTACATCCAAAGAAATGTCCGTGCAATAGAATATTACCCAGCCGTAGAAAGGAGTGAAGGTCTGACACGTGCTGCAGCACGGACGAACCTCAGAACCATGATGCCAAGTGAAATAGATCAGTCGCAAAGGGACAAATATTGTATGACTCCACCTAAATGAAAGATCTAAGGCAAGTTCATAGAGACAGAAAGGCGTGGCCCAGCACTTTGGGAGTCCAAGGCGGGTGGATCAGCTAAGGTCAGGAGTTCCAGACCAGCCAGTCAACATGGTAAAACCCCGTCTCTACTGAAAATACAAAAATTAGCTGGGTGTGTTGGTGTGTACCTATAATCCCAGCTAATCAGGAGGCTGCAGGAGGAGAATCACTTGAACCTGGGAGGTGGAGGTTGCAGTGATCTGAGATCGTGCCACTGCACTCCAGCCTGGGCAACACAGCGAGACTCTATCTCAAAAAAAAGAAAAAAAAAAGAGAGAGTAGAGTAGAGGATACTAGGAGCTGGAGGAAAGTTACTGTTTAATGATTACAGAATTCCATTTGGGGTGATGGAAATGTTTCAGAAATACATCATGGTGATGGTTGTCCACCATGGCCGATGTGATTAATGCCACCAAACTGTCCCCTTAAAGATGGCTAAAATGGCAAATTTTACATCATATATATCTTACCACAATAATAGCAAACAAATAGGCAGCAATCATGAAGACAGTCACCCACCGTAGGCTCATTTCCCTTAGCCCCATGGCAGAGCTGCCCTCTAAGCTGACACTGTGCCCTTCCTAGGATGCATCTTCCTAAAAAAGGATTTTTCATGAGACGGATCCTAGTGGAAAACTCCAACAAAAGAGACTCATCAGTAAAAATGTCAATTTTTCTCTCCTTAATATAAAAGAAAACAAATTATTTTTAAGAGTCTCAACAAGGGTTGAGAAAATATCCTGTCTTAATGATTATTCCTCCGTTTGAAAACGACTATTTTTTCCAGTTTACTTTAAAAATCAATTGTACTTCCCCTTGGCTTATTTAAAGCAACAGCCACAGTGACTGCTACAGCTAATAACTTCATTTCATGCGACTGTGGATTTTCCTGTGGAAAGAGATTGGACGCTGGGTGGCTGGTCACCGTGTTAGACTTTGCTTAGCAAATCTCTCCAGGTGATAACTGCAGGGGTGACTGTAGAGGCCTGGCTGGGCTTTGAAAGCAGTAGCAGCAGCAGCGGAGACAGTCCTGTGGCACCCAGCTGTTTAACTTCCACCAAGGCAGGGGGCCCGAGGGAGGGGGCCCAAGGCAGGACAGAAGAGGCCGTGGTGAACGTCACCCTTTCTACAGTGGCTGTATGCCTTGCTTCATGCTCCGGTTTTAGTTGTCATGTGATACTTGCTATTCTCTTTCTAGAACATTGCCACTGGGAGAGGGTCCCACCCTTTGTGTTCGCCCCCTCCCTGCCCTCATCTGCTCTGTTGACAAGCGTGCCTGCCTGTCTGGGAGGGAACAGGGAGCAGCTCCCTGGGCAGTCAGGCTCCATGGGGAAGTCGGGCCGATTTTAAATAAATCCCGGTTTTCCAGGCTTGGAGCTGAATGGCATGACGGGGGCGGACGTGGCGGATGTCCCACCCCCTCTGCCTCTCAAAGGCAGCGTGGCAGATTACGGGAATTTGATGGAAAACCAGGACTTGCTGGGCTCGCCAACACCTCCACCTCCACCTCCACACCAGAGGGTAAGTCGGCAATCTGAAACATGGGCTTTCATTACTTCCCCTCCACAAAGTAGGACGAGTCCCTCATTCCAGATATTAACAGGTTTACTTTGGGCTAGTGAGCACGTGAGGAAAACCATGTATGATGGGCCGGGTTTGATTTTGCAAAAGGTATCAAAGCAGTAAGGACGCTGGTGAGTAAGATCTGTGGCTCTGTGTCATTATCAATAACTGCGTCAAAAAGCACATTTTGATATCATGCCTCAGAAAGACGAAGAGGATAGACATTCCAAGATTGTCATCGGTTATCACCACGGAGATCAGTCCACTGGAAATGCAATTCTAATGAAATTTTGATTTTTGAGAAGTAGCTTTTCTATCAAGAGGTCTGACTTTTTAAAGAGGTTGGCCAGTATCACCCTGTATGGCAGGCACCTGTTGTACACCTGCTTGGCCCTGGAGAAGCTCATCTCCAAACATTCTCATCTCCAAACGTTCCTCCAGGCAGCCTCACCTGGTGCCGGGAGCTCCTGGGTATTGACAGGCACTCACCTTACAGAGACTGCAGAGGACAGCCAGGTTTGGCTCCTGGGCACAGTCACCCTCACTGTGCCCCCACCCCTGAGCGCCCTCCCCAGTGCTAGTTCGGGGGTGCTAGCCTGGCTTCCTCTGGCAGCACTGGCCTTTGTAAGCCTAAGCAACCCGCTGGAACCCTTCTTTGGTGTGAGTCCCTGAAGCTGGTACCTCCCAGCAACCGTTTTAGTCATTCTTCCCACCCGACGTGCCTGGTGCCGAACAGCCCCTGGGCCTGCCTGCCCGTGCAATGTTAGTCGGAGTCATAAAAAGCCATTGAAACAAGCATCTCAGTTACCAGTTGACGGTTCTAGAAACATTCTTTTCAGATCTACCCCGTTCCTCTCCTGGTTCTCAAGGATGCTGTCGGGCATCACTCAGCCCTGCGGGTCCCAGCCCCATCCTCTCGTGTCGGGCCCAGGCGTGTGCGGAGGGCAGCATGAGTGGGATGGAGGCGGGCCAGTGACTGACTCAGCTGCGGCGGGAACTTCTGCTTCCAGGCTCAGCCCTCCCCGGGCCATGTTATTCACAGCCTTTGACAATTAAATCAGTGTGGTCTGAAGAGTAAAATATCCCTCTTCATATCTGGACAGCTGGCCATATTTTTTTGCTATCCAGCCTCAGTAATTATATGGCTGCAAAACTCCTGCAGAACGTTGAAAACAGGAGACTGTTGGGTGGCTCTGTTTTTTTCATCATGATGAGACATGGGTTTGTTTTTTTTTTCTTTAATAAACACTATAAATCCCACATGCTGTTTCTTTTCCTTTTTTTTGTGGAGACTTGTTCCCGGCGTGTTCCACAAGATCATTACATCCCTTATGAGAGGAGTGGAAGAGAGAGGGTGTTTGTGTACATCATACGTATTTCATCATTCCCTTTGGATCAGAAAACTAACAAGCAGTCATCTTTAATATCAAAGAGGCAGATTGCACTTCCGAGACCCAAGTGCCATTTAAACAGGCTCCCTCTCCCTAGAGACGCCTTGATGAGGAACCGGTCCTGGAGGAGGCACCAGGTTCCCCTGTGAAGAGCGCTTTCTGGCAGGCTGGGATGGCTTGTTGCACCGCAGAAATGGAAGCCTGACCTTTCCCAGGCATTTCTAACTACTGTGAGAGCAAAACGAGGTTCGGGGGGTCTAGCAAGAATACTGGGTTGCTTGGAGTATTGTTTCCCTAACAGCTACGTTAATTGGTCACGTTTTCGTCTCTTTATTTTACTGGAAAGGCAAGAATGTTCCCCCTAGTCTCCCTACACTAGTAAACTGAAAATTCTCAACTTAAGAATTACAGCCACTTCCTCGTCTTGTTACACATCAACTCTGGGGTAACATTTTATTGTCTCAATTTCTTGGATACACCATTGTGGGTTACCGCTGCCACATATGGTTGATTAAGTAAGGGATAACGTGGATTAGCTCTGTCTCAATTTATAAAGGGGGTGTGAATTCAATTAGATTGATGACCCAAGTGTCTTCCGTCTTTGTTTCTTGTTAATTTACTTGCAGCCTGAGCGCATGCTCAGGTGACATGCTGCTGGTTAGTATGTCATCATTAGGCGGAAGCGGCTGCATTTCCTGGGGTGCCTCCCTTTGCACAGGCCCTGAAAGCTGTTCTGGGATAATGATCATCCGTCTGCCATGATGGGGGTGTGATCAATATCCTCCTGTCACTCTCATTGATCAGCCTCAGGCTTGTGGGCAACTCTGTCTCTAGTTGTTGCCACTAAGCTGTCATTTCTTTCCAAACAGCTCTTCCCGTCAGTAATCTGAGCTATCATTTTGCTTGTTGGTGGTAAGCTTTTGACATGCCCATATTTGGCACAGAGGTCATCTGCAGTGCTGTGTTGGTATCAGGCTGTGTTAGTCTGTCCTTACCTGCTCCTCATTGGCCTATCAGTGTGGCTTTCACATGTAAACAAGCAGTTTCATCAGACCTCAGAAGAGATTCTCTTTTAACGGTTCTAACCAGCCTTAAAAAGACTTCATTGTTGTTTTACCTTCCTTAATATAAGGTCATATACTCACAGGACGTCTTTAACAGTTTTACTTTCCCACATGTGTTCTGCTCTCTGTGTTAAGCACTCAGTCATTTTTGTATTTACTTGTCTGTGAATCAGGAGGAAATCTGGGCGATGAGTGAGAGACTCGACTACGTCACTGTCTATCCTTGAAAACCTCTTTTCTCACATTCAGCTAAATGCAAACCCACACTGAGAGGCTGTTAAAAATCCACCCTTACCCTTAAGTTAGATGATAGTGTTCTGTGCGTTCAGTCTGGTTCCTCTGCCTGTGGCATGCTCCCACCTACCCTGGTCTGTTCACTTCTTCATTCATTTCTTTGTTTACTCACCTGTTCATTTCTTCATTTATCCACTGACTCATGTATTCACTCATTCATGTATTCACTCATTCATCCATTTTCCTATTTGATCGACCCATATTTCCAGAGCGTCTCCTGCACATCAGGTGTGTGTGATGGGCATGACGGTCCTAAAAGCAATAGGGTGCAGCTGCCCTCAGTCGTTACACTCCAGCCAGGCCCATCAGCAGGGGGTTTGCTATTATCTTCACATTGGAAATTAATGTTCTTTTTTGTGAATCTCAAGTGACCTATGCCCATGAGCTGAAGCCAGCCAACCAGCCACCTGTTTCTGTGAATAGTTTTCTTGGAACACAGCCACACCCCTTTCTGTACACACCGTCAACACCCGCTTTTCGGCCACACCAGCGGTGTTCAGTGGCTGCAACAGAGACCGTGTGGCCCTGCCGAAAAGCTGGAAATATTTACTATCTAGCCCTTTCCAGGAAAAGCTTGCTAACCTTTGCCGGAAGCTCAGAAAGCAAAAGCAGTTCTCTCATCTCACCCCTGGAGAGTGCCTCTAAGGACTTGTTTATCCCTTAGACAGTAGATGGATAACTTGGTCGATAGCATCTGAATTTAAAAAGGCCACGCAAAGGGCAATGGTACCTCTCAGGGACCGAGCAGACGGCAGGAGAGTGCTCAGAGGCGTCAGAAAGGCCCAGGCCCAGGCCCATAGCAGCCCAGTCTTGAGCCTAGCAGACCTGGCAGCCCCGAGTCAGACAGTATGGAGCCCAATCACGTGGAGAGGATGGTTCCGGCTGAGTGGCTGTGCCAGGTCAGACCCCACCTGGAGACGGCTTCTTTTCCGTCAGGACATCAGTAATGTAACGTCTTCCCCATCCTCATGTTTTCTAGCATCTGCCACCTCCACTGCCCAGCAAAACTCCGCCTCCTCCCCCTCCAAAGACAACTCGCAAGCAGACATCGGTGGACTCCGGGATCGTGCAGTGACGTCGCAAGGCTGTCTGGAAAGAGTGCGCTGCCCCTCCCCCGTCTCCATGTCCTCTCCTTCCGTGTCCCCTGAGTCTGCTGTTTACCTCATTGGGCCTGTGATGTTAACATTTCGTGCAATTGCTTTTCCGTCAGAGGAGTTCAGTTCTCACCATGGAGTGAGTGGCCTTTAGTGTCATGGAGCAAGGTGGGTCAGGGAGGTGGGTATGGGCCCGGGATGTGCCATTGTGGTTGTCAGAGTTGGGGGCCTCTGAGAGAATCTGAGTCTTGCCCAAACATTCTCTCTTTTTGTGCCAAATGACTTGCATTTGCAAAGAGCTCAGTTGCCCTGAGCTCAGTCAAGTAGGAGAGGCTAGGCCTTCACTCTTGGGAAGCGGTGTAGTGACGATGTACAGGAATCCTCCTCACTGCCATGGGATGTTTTATCCAGCCCCTCCTTGTTCCGGCTGGTGGTGTGACTTCGTTGGTTGAGGTGTGTCTCCCGCCTGCATCAGACAATGAAGTTCAGCCCCTCCAGGGAAGCTCCTGATTTCCCCTGGCATAATTTAAAATAGGATCTTTCTCAGCTACTGAACAGTTACTAATTTATGGGGTGGAAACAGCATTAAAAATACTGAATCAAATGGAAAAACAAGTGCATAGAGGAAGACAAATTTTCGTTCTTTTCTGAAAAAGAATGTGTGCACCACAAGAGCTGGTTTTAATTGGGGAAACTGTTTTTGTCCTCATTCTGTACAGAAATTTGTATATATGACGGTTCTTAGAACTTGTTTTAATTTTTGTGGTCCTTCTGTTTATTATAATAGGCGTCCACAAATGATTCTCCATATGTGTTCTTAATTTTTAACTGCCGCAAGTGTTAAACAAACACACACACACACACACACACACACACACAAATTAAATTTTTTTTTCAGAACTCCAAAGTCCTGAAAATTTTGGTGGACAATGATTTTTAAAAAACTAACTTTGTATAACCTAATATTTGTATTCTCTCATCTATATTTTTTTATTCACTATAATCATGATACTCTTCTAATAGACTCAAAAGTTAATCATTGACAATGAAAAATAAAATGTTATTTTAAAACACTCATGGTGTCCGACATATTATGTTTGTATCCTTGATTGTAAAATACAGACGCTGCTGTTTCTATTCTGCTTTGTTAAAGTGCTTGGTGACACACATTAGTATATGCACCTCTTCCTCAAACGTTGTTTTTAATCCTCTCTGTTAATTGTGTCTGATCTGGAGCCCGGATGGGAAGTGCCCATGTCCCATGCATGGCTGTATGTCCTGATAGACAGGAGCTGAGCCAAGCCCCAGCTGAGTGCTTTCCCATCACCAAACCCACAGGGCTCTCGGGCTGCAGATCACGTGGGCCTCTTTTCAGCTGCTAATTTAAGAGAGGGCTTTGGTTAGTGGGTGTGTGATTTAGCTGTAGAGGCCTGGACATGGAGAGCTTTCTCCAGGGCCTGCCTGGCTGGATCTGGGGTGGCAAGAAACAAGGAAGGCAGAAGGTCCTCTTCTCAATGGACAGGGCTCTCACCTCTGCTCCTGCCAGACGTGTGGAAGCCATAAGGATGTGCCCCTCTGCCCGTCTAACCTGGCCTAGGAGGAGGCTGCTGTGGAGTCCGGGAAGCTGGGAGGCTCTTCTCCCACTCAGGTACTGTCCCCAGCGTATTCATGCTTGTAAATATCCGTTCCGCCCCCGAGAAACCGTAGGATTTTTCTCTTGAATGTGGGATTTTTCTCTTCAGGAATCTTTACTGTTTCAACTGTGGCACCAAGATAAATATTCATCTTCTGTCGAGTGTGTGAGAAACCGAATATTATCCACAACCCTAGAAATTGTCAAATGGGCACACCCATGTAGGTGACCACGGAGAGCCCAACCTGGGGACAGATTGTTTTTGGGCAGTCCATGCCCCACATTGTATAAGCGGCCACCAGAAACGGAAAGAATAGGCCGGGCGCGGTGGCTCACACCTGTAATCCCAGCACTTTGGGAGGCTGAGGCGGGTGGATCACCTGAGGTCAGGAGTTTGAGATCAGTCTGGCCAAAATGGTGAAACCCCGTCTCTACTAAAAATACAAAAATTAGCCCGGCATGGTGGCAAGCGCCTACAATCTGGTAGGCTGAGGCAGGAAAATTGCTTGAACCTGAAAGGCAGAGGTTGCAGTAGCTGAGATTGTGCCATTGCACTCCAGCCTGAGTGACAAGAGTGAGACTCCATCTCCGTGTCCATGTATAAAAATAAAAAAATATAAATTTTATCTTTATAAATATAATTGTATTTATAAAAAATAAAAATTATAAAATTTATAAAATATAATTGTATTTATAAAAAATAAAAACACAGAATAGTGCCTGGCCCTATGATAAATGATGGTTTTCTTGTGGAATGGTGTGTGGGCTCCTGCTCTTCCCCCATCTACTGGGTTCACCCTCGCACTGCACAACCCTGACTGGAATCCCCACCCCACAGCCCCCCAAGGACCTTATATGCCTCAGGGATCTCTAGAGCTGGGAGGTTTTGTTGAGAACACAGAACAGTTAGAGAAAGAAAAGTAAAGACAGCCAAAATGTTGCGGAAATGTCCTATTTATTAATACAAATTACAAATATGCTAATATATTCACCGATGAGGAAACTTCTCAAACGCTTCATGCAGATGCAGCATTTCCTCAGCTTGTCAATCAATGGATGGGCTGCAACACAGTAATCAGAGGCAAACCGGCCTCCACGCACAGGGCCTGCTACATGCATTCCTTCTGGAAAGTGGCTCCAGGGGAAGGTTTGCCTCTGTACATGGAGGGACACATCCCTTCTACGCAGAAACCCTATTTCTTAACCGGTTTTTTTTTTTTTTTTTTTTTTCCACAATTACCTTTCAAGGAGCCTTTTTAGACATTTTTTCCCTCCATCACTCTCATGATGAAATTTTAATAGTACAGCCATACTGTGTATCACTTAGACTATATACTGCATATCTGTTATCTACTTTATGTATCCATGTGCTTTTTTACATTAAAAAATGTTTGTTTGTTTCCCAAGTACTAGTTTTCAGGGGGTGACACTGCCTTTTTGCAAACGCATGCTCTAAAGCATGAATGCTGACCTTCTTAGGTTCTACTTCTGCTTTGGCTTCCAGGATGCTCAAAGCCAAATTTTGCTCTCACACATGCAGTTACATTTTGGTTTTATTCTCCTGCCTTCCAAAAGCTTTCTGGACTATTAAAAATCCATCTTCACTTTTAACTACCTAGTTTCATATGTGCTTTAATCAAATCTTTATTCAAAGTAGTTAGTATATAAACTGTATTTTATAAATGGAAAAGTCTTTTTCTTACTTGAAAACCACACTTGGTGCTTAAAGATTGCTTCCTAGTATTTAAAGAAATTATTTTTTAATCAATTTTAAGATTATTCTTTCATGCAAAGATTTGATCATTTAAATTTCTTACAGATTTCGTTATCTTCTGCTCTGGATTCTTTTGTGGTATTGCACTTTGTTTCATGTCCACGGAACTCTTTGTTAGTTTAATGGATTTTCGTTTTTGCTTTTTAATTCTATCTCTAATTACTTTTTAATATTTTACTCACTTTTTAAAGTCTGGGAACTTCTGCCACCACACTTTTTGGCAATCTGCCTTTTCAGAATTATTTAAACATCTACTGTTTCATTGATGATGGCTCAAAAAAGTAGAGAACCTGTAGGCCAATAAGCCTTTGTACCCAAATAAGCTAGAATTGTCCTGCCCTGTTTGTCTCCCACACACATGAGGAAACCTCTGCTCCTCCAGGTTGTACAGTGGCCTGAGTGCAGTGTCGCTAGCTGGAGAGGGAAGTGAGGACTCCCTGGATGTCTGATGCGTGGCAAAACTCCTGGGTTAGTTTCAGCCCTGGACAAAAGAGTTCTGATATGGTCCTAAGTGTCCACCTGGCCAGACGGCAGTAGCCAGTTAATCAAAGCAACTGTAAGTCTTGCTATGAAGGTATTTTGTAGATGTGGTTTACATCTATAATCAGTTGACCTTACATAAAGGAGGTGACCCTTGATAATGTGGCTCATCCTCATCCAATGAGTTGAAGAGGCCTTAAGAGCAAAAACTAGAGTTTCCTGGAGAGGAAGGAATTCTGCCTCAAGACTGCAGCATCAACTCCAGCCTGACTTCCTAGCCTGCTGGCCTGCCCTACAAATTTTGGACTTGTCAGCCCCTACAATGGCTGAGCCAATTCCTTAAATCTCTCTCTCTCTCTCTCTCTCTCTCTCTCTCTCTCTCTGTACACACACACACACACACACACACATGCTCTGACAAAGGGTAGACCATAGCAAACCTCCTCTCATAAGGTGGTATTTGGCAGAAACAGGTGACTGTAGGGATACCTGGAGTAGAATCCAAGAATCTAGAGACCCCCAAGCAAGCCACTTAGCCTCTCCAGTCATGAGTGTCTCTGGGTCACGTGATAATATCTGCTGCCATCTTGTCCTGGTGTCTTGAGGCTGGAACGTCCAAGATGGCTTCCTTCACGGGCCTGGCGCGCTGGTTCACTGCAACTGGCTGGGCATTCTCTCTCCTCTCTTTCCTTCTCCCCCTCCCTCCTTCCATCTCCCTTGGGTCATCCTTCATTTTCTAGGGCTGTTTCATCTGTAGGAAGCTACTTTGCATGCTCAGGGTTTCCCTATTTAAATTCCAAACAGAATGTCTTTTTCCTGGTAAACCATCGTGAGCTTGCCACCATGACCTACCCTTCATCTCAGTCTGCCTTGGTCACACTCTGCGGCTTCCCTGTGTTGCAGCCTCTCATGCTGAGCTCTTGGGTGAACCTGTCCTTGTTCCCCCGGCCCCCAGCAGGTGGCTTGGGAGCTGGTCCTGAGCCAGCCTCACCAGGCTTCCCATGCAGCTGTGCTGGCCTTTCCTTTTTTTGATGTGCTTTGTCTGCAACGTAGGACTCCGGAATTTGCCATGCAAACTCCAGGGACCATGCTGCCCTCTTGCCACTAGGAAGGGCTCCATGCCTTTGTCTAGCCCCAGAGCACTATCTCCTTATCTCCTTCCTGTCCCGTCACTTTGTTCAACCTTTGGCACCCAGGTTTAAGCTGTTGCTACTAATGAATGTTTCTTTTCACTTTGGGGAAGTGCTTAATTCCATCTCTTCTTTGGCTTCTAAATACCATTCTCCAATCAAACAAATCAAGGCTTCTTTAAGAAATGGCTGACTCTGGTCTGGGAATACAAGACAGCCTAGAACATTTTGTACCAGAATACAAGGAAGTGTTCAAGAAATAAGGGGCACACTTCAAAAAGACATTGGAACCCACATGAATTGGCTTCTATGGGATGGCCCACATCTGGGACAATTTGAGCATCAAAATCAATGATGATAGTAACAAATTTTAAAGCCATTGAATGAAGTACGACTTTTCTGTAAGTCCATGCTGATATAAATCAACGAAAAAATTGAATGTTTAATGAAGAACAGGATAGCTACATAGTTTCAAAGTGTCTTCCCACAAAACACTTATTAATTACAAAGGGAAAAACAATTTCATAGTGGAAAAGGCTGGCAGATACCACCTTAATCAAGAAATAAAAGAGAACATCATCAGTATGGGGACAAATTAAAATTACGTGCTCCCCCCACCACCACAGTACCGATGCTCTGGGAACACATCAGCTCTGCAATATTCCTACCAAAAATGCATAATCAGAATGAAATCACAAGAAAACATCAGCCAGACTTAAACTGGGAGGCAGTCTATGAAACCACTGACCCTTCATATATGATTCCATTTACATGAAATGTCCAGAAGAGGCAAACCCACAGAGCTAGGAGGTAGATTAGTGGTGGTCAGGTGCTGGGAGGAATAACTGCCAACGGGTACAGGTTTTTTCCTTAGGATGATCCAAACGGTCTAAAATTAGATTATGGTGATAGTGCCCAACTATATGACAAAACTAAACACCATGAATTGTACCTTTAAAGGGGTGAAGTTTATGATTATTGAATTATATCTTAATAAAGCTTTTTTTTTTTTTTTTTTTTTTCGAATGGCCTATAATCTTGGAAACGGTCAAGGCCA